GCTGGACCTTGGTGTTATCAGCACCATGCTCTAACCAACTGAGCTAACTGGCCAGCCCACATTATGATTTCTTTCCAATGTGGCTAACTAAACTTAGCCACTATATTCATAGTCTACAGCATTTCCACATTTTACATAAGTATAGGTAAGACCAGGAAAACAAAATGTCTACATTTTTAAAAGACTGTTTTTGCTATATTAAACCAGAAGAATGCACTGAAAATTCTAAATTTCAGTTAGAATTAGTAAAACTGATAACTTAAAACATTTCAAAAATTCTTATAAACTGTCATTGCCAAGGGATTGAGTATCAAAAAGTAAGCAAAGCTTTCCTTAATCATTTGCCTATTTTACAATACTTTTTAAGTCACCATAATTTACTGATTCCACTTATACTTCAGGATTTAAAGAGCAGAGCTCTTTATTTATGAATTTTAACCATAGCAGAATCATCTAGTTGTTGATTTAGCATCTAGATTTGTTCAATATTCAACATGTCTGTGAATGCTCCTTAAGTCATTTAAATCACACTTTTTGCACAGAATGGAAGTATTGCTGGGTTCAGTCTTTTTCTCATGAAAGAAAAGAACAAAAACAACTAGAGAAAAGAGATGAAAGGGAAGATTTTTTTTTGATATGGATGAAACTTCAACAGAAGAATTTAAAAATTCCCTCCAGGAGGATGAAAGAGAATTTAACAGAGAAACAAATGGCCAGTGCTAGTGAAAGAAGATGATAGTGATCAAGAACTCAGAAAAAACTAAACAGAATATTCACATGTATTTGAAAATGCCTTAATTTAATGAAGCAATATCCAAATGAGGAGTTTGAAGTCTTGATATATCAAAACTGTCAGAATAGCATGCCAGGAGGTGGCAGAGCCATTTCTTAGCATCTGTGCTTTGAAGTCACACAGAGAATTTCAATGTTAGCTCCACCACTTAGCTATGCAACTCTGGGCAAATTCAGTAATGTCTCTGAGCCTCAGTTTCCTCATCTGTAAAATGGGGATATCAAGTGCACCTGTCTCTATAGGACTGTAGTGAAAATAAACATAAAATAACTTAGTTGTTAAATGCTCAATAATAAGTAGATGATGATGATGTGTTTTTTATTTTTATTTTTATTTTTTAAAGGCTAACTGTAAAGTAAGTTCTAGGAACAGAGTATGTTACATATTCTATAGTGATGATCCTGGAACTTTATTTTATAACAATTTGGTACTTGAATTTTCAATTTCACTCTGTCGCACACACTTTCACCAATATAATGGTTCAGTTTACTGGGGGTTGTCTGGAAATATCATTAAAACAAAAATGATAGAAAATGAAGAGCTCATGTAAGAAAATGATTTGATAAGTCTGGGGCCTAGTACTCTTGTTGTTAGGTTTTGAACAAGGATAAAATATAATTGAGAATGAATGGGTAGAATAAGTAATCTCTAGGAGCTCTATAAATTTCTTACTGTGTTTAGAAATAAGAACACTTAGATAATTTCTAAGGTAAATCATTTAAAATGATCCCATGGAGGTCTCCATTAAAGAAAAACTGTGGTGAAAGTTTTAACCGGGTGAAAATCATTTTAAGTGACTACCATACCCAAAAGGAATCCTGGAGTTAGGGATTCTAAACCTTTAGAAATTTAGCCTTGATTCATAAAGCTAAATCAGAGTAATATCATGTCTGATATTATATTTTATAAAGCAGATTACTTGACTGTGAGATAATGTGGTCAGTTTTATAACACTATTAGATGTAACCAGGATGTTGAGGCTTCTTGAAAGCTCTGGCTAATAATTAATCTTCGTTTTGGATACCGCACATTAACTTAGTAAAGAAAGACTGAAAAGCAGGGAGTTTTAGGGAGCAACACATGGGTCTAACATGTCCTTAATGTGATTACGTTCTCTACTTGTTGGATCTGTAGTATTTAGTTCTCCACATGTTGCTGTTAAAAATAGCAATCATTTTTTTTTTTCCTTTTTGTCTTTTTTCGTGACCGGCAACGGATCGCAACCCTCAGTGTCGCGCCCGTACCGGACCGGGACCGGCAACGGGATCGCAACCCTCGGTGTTGCGCCCGCACCTCGCTCAGCCAGTGAGCGGCCGGTCTGTATGTGGGATCTGAACCCTCGGCGGGAGTGCCACCGCACTCTCAAGCAGCGCACTGTAGCAGTGCGCCACCGGGCCGGCCCATGTCGAATTTTCTTATGCAAGACAGTTGTACTGCTATAACCAGGGGAAACCATATGAATAAATAGAATACTGGATTGTTAAGTGCTTCATAAATTAAAATATTTTACAAATATGACTATTAAATAGGACTATAAGGTTTATTCAAGAAAAATAAGAGACTATAATCAAACTGAAAACTCTTTAAGGAAAGGTCATTTAGGGTAACTCTTTTCCACTTAAGCATAAAATAAGTTTATTTGTCTAGGTGTTCCCTTACTAAGCTGTGCTATCTATGAAAACCTGAGAAAACAAAGATTAGCCTCACTTGTGGTTTCACTATGTAAGCCATTTGACATCACACTGCCTTTCAACATTTAAAGTAATTCATATTTACAATTGTGTTACAATTCATCAATAATTTATCTCCTGTGCTATCCGAGGTACAACCGAATAGCATGGATTTCTTAGTCCGTGGAGAATTTGAAGAAATTTTCTTTCCATGTACTTATATTACCAGTGAGTATGAATTAGGAGAAACTCACACTTAAAAGGGAGAAAAACACATTTAAAGGAATGCCTTTGAGTTGTGACTATTTAACTTGGTAATTAAATAGGTAGCTGGGAAATAAAGCAGAAAACATTCAAAAGCAATTTCTGGTCTAAGACACCTACTCAAAGGTGTGGCAAAACAAGAATAATTTATGGAATTTTCAGAGGATTCTAGTGAATCTAGTATTCTGAAATCCAAATCAAAGAAGAGCAGTGCCAGATGGGCCACATCCAGTGGATGTAGTGCAGAGTTAGAGACAATTTTAACATGAGAACCACCCAAATGCTCTCTCCCCATGACTGCTGAGATTAATAATACCATGATTTGGGAAGGAAAGTTTCAACTTTCTGGTTTACACTTCTGGTTTAATTTATGGTTTCCAAAGTGCTTTTATACATATCATCTCATTTGATCTTAACAGTTGCCTCAAGTGGCAAGGAGGACAGGCATCCTGTTCACTTTACAGATTCTAGAAACCAAGGCTCAGAGAAATTAAGGCACTGACCAAAGATTTCATGGTGGAGGCAGGGCAAGATCTTAGGTTTTCTGATTCCTAATCCAATAGTAAAAGAAAATCAAAATTGAAAAACAGCCCAGGAAGTATTCACCATTTAACCTTTAAAAATTGATTTCAATTGCACAGCCACTCAACAGCTGTTTGTCGATGAATTTGGACAGAGGAGAAAAAGGCACCCGGGAATTTTCCAATGGTCAACGCATATTCTAGGTGATGCAAGAGAAAAATGAGAATATTCATGCTATTCTGCAAATCTGGTAGATTCAACAATACTACTTATTCCATGCTGATGAAGACTGATGAATCCTGCCTGCCTCTACTCTCAAAGGAAGGGTGCAGATTCCTCCACCGAGGGTAAAGGGCTGGAGTCACTGGAGAAGAACATACAGTAACACAAAACCTATCGTATCTTTATGGGAATCATTTAGCAGCCACCAAATGATCTAATAGGAATTAACCAGAGAGTTTTCTGTTTCCCCTCTTCATTCTGTGTGACAAGTTTTAGTGAGAAAAGCTGACCAGAATGGATAGTATATGGAAAAATCCCAGAAATATTTAATGATTTAACATATACCGATACATAAAGGGACAATTAAGTCCCCAACCATAACCACACCTCGTTACAATCTGCAAACTTATAGAGGTGTTCCTTCTTGGTACCTAGAGAATGACTGTACCTCTGAGCTTCGCAGCCATGGCCTTTTAAGAACTTGAAGTTTTGCTGACAGTCATTCATTCATTAACAAAAAGTTAAAGAATACCTACTATGTGCCAGGAATTATTCTAGCACTGAGGATATATCCACTTGCACTTATGAAGCTCTCATTCTAGTAAGGAGAGGCAGCAAACAAACAAGTAAAATATATAGTATATTAGTCAAAGCAAGGTGCTATGGAGAATGAGGGAGACCAGTGGGATGGGGTTGCTGTGGGGTGTGTGTGGGCAGGGGGTGGCACTATAAAGTAGTGCCTCTCTTTACAAAATGATTATGTCAAGGAGACAGATATATTAGATACCTGAATATATGTATTTAGAAGCACATGATGAAATCCAGAGGTAGGAAGTTCAAATCTGGCAAAAGCGGAAGAATGCCAAATAAAAAGGGTAGTGAAATATTCAAATCCCACATCCTATCTATTATAATTAATCCACTGCTGAACTTCTAAATGTGTGGGCATTTGCTAGGATATACTACAGGGCACTCTACCAATCCCTACCCTTAACACTAACCAATTATCTTATTTTTGTACCTGAGGACAAATGAAATACATACCACACCAACAATGTATTTCTAGACTTCCACACAAATATCCTAAGAACCAAAACTTCCAACATTAAGGTAAATTATTTTCAGACTAAGGAATCTTAGGTGAAAAGCTCACCTTTAAAAAAAGTATGACAAGTTGTGATTAAAAAAATGTAAGCACAAATTATCTATCCAGATGAAATTTAGTCAAAGTAGATTATAAACATGTTTATATGTTTTCCCTTTTTTCTATTGTTACTTCCCTTCCCTTCATGTGACTCTATACTACATTAACTCATAGTTATTTGTTTCTCTTGGTGAGGATTTTTCTACTTTGCAGATATGTAAAGGAGCAAAGATTTCATTAAACTAATTTTAGAGTTAGGATCTCTTAGACTGGGAAAGCTTTAAAAGGCTATAAAAATAATATTTTGTCATGACTGCCACATAAAACTGAGAACAAAATAGAAAAACAATTAGCTTGTTGGAAATAAGAGTAGTGTCTTACTTACCCGGAATAGGAATAATAGGAATACTTTCATTGGGAACCACACGAGGTGAACTACTATCTTCAACATAAAAATGAGCAGTCTGAAAACATTTTCTGTGTGTGAAAGAGAAAAACATGTAACAGTGAGACCAGAGAAATACACTGTGAGTTCATCATTTTTCAATTCTTCTTTCACAGACTTTCCCAGCTCTAAACATCACATAACACTGAGAGAAAACCCATGGAAAAGAAAAGATACAAGAAAGACAACATTCAGGCTATTGGAGGAACCCAAAATAACTGAAGAATATCCATTTTTTATTATAACTATATCCAACCTGATAGATAAAAGAGAAAGGCTTAGTATTGAACTTCTCAAGTATGTGAAATCTAGGCACGGACAGAATAAACTCATCACATAAACCTCTAGGATCAACCCGCAATATTTTTTAATTTGACAGGTTACAGAGGGATAATTTGCTATTCTAAATCCCCAGCACCAAGTTCAAAACCACACCTCGAATCCTCTTAAATGTGCTCATCAAACAGCCCGAGTACACAATAGCACCACATTGTTTGTGCTTAGAAAAGGCCCCCAAAGCCTCAGACAGCTCTTTAAAAGGATCAGAGGGCTTCAAGGGGGCAAGCACTCAAAATCGGAGGCCCTTGCCAGAAAACATCTGAGACAGGGACCTGAAACCTTCAAGTGTCATCTACTGGTTTTTGTTTTGTTTTGTTTTTACCTGTACTTCAAGCAAAGCAGGGAGCACACACTGGTCATCATAGGACAGGCAGTGAACAGAAAAGCCATCAGCAGCTCACTCAGCCTCTGCCTACCGATGCTGGCCAGCCTTCGGCTTTCCAGCATCCACGTCACTGCTCATTGCGGCCCTAATGAGCTGCCGGAAGCACAGGCTGAATATTTAATGAGGCTGCTCAGCATGAATGGCTATTGTGACCAGAGAAGGGTCCCTGTTCATCTGGCGGAGGGGCTTTACAATAACCAGCCCTACTGCTGGGTCTTTTAGCCAAGCAGGCAGCCTCCTTCTGGTGCCCGGTGTCCCTGGGATCTGTCCCACTCCTCTCCCACTCCTCTGGCGTCTCACATGAGGCAACATTTACACGTGCTATAGCTTTGCATTTTCTAGAGGCCATGTTCCAGCTACTAAAGTAAGTCAACTTTTCTTCAGAGCTGTCCTTACTCATCTATCCAAAAGTATCCTGGGAGGATTCTGTTGGGCATACCCTGTTTCTGTGAAGCCAAAGAAGAGGGTTGCAACTCTATAAACCAAAGATCTCTGTGGGAGTGAGGAGACCCCAATCATACAGATTTTTCCACTTCAGCTTTATATGGGGCTATTATAACCACATGAAATCAGAAATGATCACATGTCACAGTATGAAGCGTTTTTCTTTAAGCAGTGCCTATTTTCAGATGGAAGGTAGGTCTGGCCAGTTGTACATCTGGGCATGCTCTAGAATCAGTCTGGATTGCTACTCCATTAAGGGGTTCTGAACATAAATCACTCCAACTCTTGGCACAGTCTCACAGGACTGCACTTGCAGAGCACTGACTGAAAAATGATTTTTTCTATGAATTGCCTGGCATTTGTAATATTAATAATGAAACAAGTTTCCGTCACTCTTTGCTTAGCTAAAGCCTACATTTGGGCAGAACATCAGTTAGACTTAAGCTACATGAATTTGAAATGCACATAATATTATAAAGCTCTAGTGCTAACCTAAATGGTGGAAATCTACATGAAAAAAACATGATTTTGATGTGTGAGATAATAGCTTCTTTCTGTTTCTAAATTAATTACCATGTTTTCTACTCTTGGATTCATTCACCCCCTGTTCTACCTCCAGATTTCCAGAATGTAATATTAAAGTTAAATTTGCCCAGATTTCCAGAACGTAGCATTAAAGTTAAAACACAGGTTAAGGACTTCACAAATAAGCTAGAACCTTAACCACTTAGTGTCATAGCTAAGGAAGACCTGTATTTGTTAAGTTAGAGAATGACCACTCAAGTATTTAGTAGCCCAAAGAAGTGCTGTAAGTCACTGAAATGAATGGCCACAATTTACCAGATCAGCCTTCAACAAACTCGAAAAAACAAAGAAAAAAAGTAATTCTTCTATTTTAAGACAATAATTACTATGCCTATTAAATTTCCAAAATATAAAGCTATTAGTAAATTGAATCATTACTGGCTATTAAAATCAAATGACTTGGAAAGGATATACTATTTTGTAGATTTTTTTTTCTATAAGACAGAGAGTTCAGCCAGTCTCTCAGTTACATGTGGGGCTCCACATTATCTTTGAAAAAAAGCAGTGTGTACTGAAGCAAATCACACTCCAGTGCCCCATGTGCTGCTATTTATAATGGATTTTCCCTGGAGCAAAATAACTCTGATTGCCAGAGAAAAGCACACAACTGGGGATGAGGGTCAGGAACCTGGGAGACAAAGCTCCATACAGCTGCACCTTGCTGCACTTCACATGCTTTCCTTCCACACAAAGATGTGGGTGGGCAACTACAGAACTTTGGGGGAAATGTCTTCCCTTAGAATGAAGGTTTCAATGGCTTCAGCAAATGTTTATTCAGCACCCACTGCACAGCATGGAGTGTGCAGATAACACATTCTCTGCAACTCTCTACAATCCTTAAAACCACTTCCTTAAGCCTGGCTGAGCATGGAGTAATTTATAAAGAATTATGCAAGTAACTGATGATCTTCGCAGAAAAATTAGAAAATACAAATGAACAAAAAACCAAAATCAATTCAAATCACTCCAAATCCTCCTCCTTGTGATAATCACTATTAATATTTTGTGGTACATCCTTCCATACTTTTCAATAGTCATTTATTGACTATTCTTTGATCATCTGTAACGAGGGGCTGGGAGCAGAATGATAAATAAGACAGACAAAGCCCCTGCCTTCATGGTGCTTATGTTCTCATGGGGAAAATCAGCAACAAACAAGTAAAAAAATAGTTTCCAGTAGTCAAATGCTATGAAGAAAATAAAACAGAAAGATGTGATAATTGATGGAAGGTGAAGGAGGGGACTTCACTGATAAGGGGGCATTTGAGCTGAGACCCAATTAAGGATTAGCGCTGTGAAGTTCTAGGGGAAGACCATTCTAGGCAGACAAGCAACTAAATAGCCTCAGAATAGTGAGCTTGGCAGGTGGTAGGAACTGAAAGGAGGCGGGCGGCAAGAGCAAAGAAAGGCTGCAGAAGGTAAGGTCAGAGGTGGGCAAGAGCCAGGCCATGCAAGTTCCAGTGGGCCACAAAGAATCTCCATTGGTGTCTAAGAGCAATGGAAAGCCAATGGAGGGCTTAAATCTGTGGAGGGACACAGTCTGGTTTGTCTCTTTCATTTTTTTTTTTTTTTTGGTGACCGGTAAGGGGATCGCAACCCTTGGCTTGGTGTTGCCTGCACCGCACTCAGCCAGTGAGCGCACCGGCCATCCCTATATGGCCAGTGCGTCCAGAGTGCTGCTGCGCTCCCAGCGCCGCACTCTCCCGAGTGAGCCACGGGGCCGGCCCTTGGTTTGTCTCTTTCAAAGAGCTCATTTGGTTGCTGCGTGATGATGGATTGTAGGGCAATAAGAATGGAACAAGGAGATTAACCAGGGGGCTATTGTATTCTCACCCAAATACAGACATACAGGCTGTTTTCTGTTTTAAAAACAAAATGAGATCATACTATACACATGTCTCCTTGATAACAAATGTGGACTGATATCTTACTAATATTTGCTTAGTCTTCCATTTCATGGAGGTACTACATTGTTGGTATTTAATTTAACTTGTTCCTTTAATAACTATTTATAGTGGGTCTACTCTGAGCCAGGGACTGAAGAAGATACTAGGTGCTGGCAACTTTTCACTACCCTTAACAAGACTGAGATGTTCCCTTTGCATGTACAAATTCTACATTGTGAGTTTAATACCTATAAAAAGCAGCTGCATATCACATGATATTATATTTTAACTTGCTCATTTCAGAGAAGTCCTGTGAAAAATATTGTTTCTTGACCTTCGGCAGTGTCCAGGAATTTTTAAGCAAAGGCAGGAATTTTGGAGAAAAGGAAAAGAAAACATAAGTTTTAATGCCTCTAAACTTCTAAACTGTGATATGTTCAAAGAGGCAGTATTGTCTCTAGTTTTGAGCTCAGGGGAATGGAGATAGAATTTCTGAAACTGCTCAATTGTGTCACTGAACAAAATTTCAATTTTCTATCTAGGTCCAATTCTCTTTCAACTAAATTACCCTAAAAGTCCCTCCCAACTTAAATAAAACAGATTCCTAGATCACAAAGAGCTATTTTCTAAAATTATAATTTCTTCACAATGAACACTTGTTTATGCAACTACCTTAAAAAGGAAAAACCATGAAGTAGATCATATTTGGAATAAAAAAATATTTATAATTTTAACTACAAATTATAATCCAGTGGATCCCCACCACAAATTTTGTTTCCACCTCTCCTCCTTTACACTTCCCATGCCCCTGAAGGTGCTATCTATAAATTTACACTTTTATACTAAATAGTTTTTTTTTTTTTGTCTTTTTGTCTTTTTTCTGTGTCCGGCAACGGATCGCAACCCTCAGTGTTGCCCCCGTACCGGACCGGGGACCGGCAATGGGATCGCAAGCCTCGGTGTTGCTCCCGCGCCTCGCTCAGCCAGTGAGCGGGAGCCGGTCCGCATGTGGGATCCGAACCCTCGGACGGGAGCGCCGCCGCGCTTCCCAAGCGGCGCACTATCCAGTGCGCCACCGGGCCGGCCCCGTATACTAAATAGTTATTAAAGGAATAAATTAAATTAAATACCAACAATGTAGGACCTCCATGAAATGGAAGACTAAGGAAATACTAGTAATGACAATGTCAATGATCATACCTTTAAGAAACTGAGGCCAGGTAACATTATCATTGGCCTAGTAATGATCTAAATTAGTTATCTTCTGCTTCCCTTAATCTACATTTGCAACATATGTTTTTCTGACATTTTGAGTTTCCCAACTTAGAGAACACCTTAGTTTTGGAGGGTCCTGAAGAATCTCTCTCTCTTTCACAGACATTAGTAAGGTATC